ATTTTTTTTCAGAACGTGAGCAGCAAGGAATGTATAACTTTCAAAACAAATCTAGCCTTTTCAGCTTCACACGCTTTCTGCCTAGCTGGATGTTACAAGCATAAAGTATTCAAACCGTGATCTTTTTTCCCAGATTTTATTGCATCGTCATCATCATCGTTATCACCATTTTTAATAAAAGGAGTTATAGTTTCCTTTCAAATGATATTTCCTACGTGTGCCGATATGCCATCTAACATATGGCCAGGTAAATACTTCCTGAATATTCAGGGTACAGATTTTTATATATATATAAATATGAACAAATGGGGATAAATAAAATTTTAAACACTTAGATTATTCAATGTTTGCAAAAAAAAATATAAATAAATCTGAATGTTCACCAGCATACACACATTGAAAGACTTACACGTATTAATAATTGTCCAGGGAGTCCCTGTCCAAGCGCTTTTGATGTCTTTCTCGCTATTTAAAAGAAGTGCAATAAAAAAAATTGCTTCCCCGTGGGATCAATCATGTACGAACAAATTCACATTTAAGAATTCCTTTTATAGAAAATTTGTTCATATACCCTGTTTTGATAAAAGTGTAGAAGGTAAAGTATAAAGCCTCTGCATACTCCCAAAGTGAGACACAAGGCTACAGTTCAAGAAGATAAATATCCACTAGTGAAACTATAGAGCAATTCAAGCAACAAATATTGCTACGTCACATAAACTAGAAAACGCTTTTACCAAAGGAACCAAAACGAAACAAACAAAAGAAACAAGAAGGGGAGGGGTGGGCAGAGGGTGGGGGGACGAGAGAGAGAAGGGAAAGGGTGAGTACTTTCCAAAAGTTAGGGGCTTGGTGTTCCACTTAGTGACTCCTGTCTCTTACAGATGGGTGAGTTTGGGCGCTTCCTGAATTCTTCCCTGAGAAGGATGGTGAGCGGTAAGGTCTGTGTATGTTGGGTGCGGATCGCAAGGTCCATGGTGGTGATTGTTGGCCATTGGCCCAGCCCCGCTGTAGTCCATGTTGGCAGAGGGAGGATGAGGGAGATGAGTTAGACCAAAGATGGAAGGCCCAGAATTGGTCATGGTCTCCACGTAGTTGCCCCCTACATAGACGGGGCTTCCCTGTATATGTGGATTCCCATAACCGTTGCCTTGAAGAGGATGAGTATCATATTCAGGTGTCACAGCTGCTGTCCCCGTGTATCTCTTTTGAGGAGGTGGGCAATTATTAAGAGGAGCGGTATACGATGCAGGAATGCCATAGGTGTTTTGATGAGGCTTGTTAAATGGCGGAGGCGACTGGGGCTCATAGGGGACACTGTTTACTAAGGAATGCATAGAGTTTAGATATCCCCCAGCAGCTGGAGGAACAGGGCTTCTGCTTGGGGACTGTCCTCCTGAAGAGGTCATCATGCCCTTGCCTTTTTGATCCTTTTTGTATTTCATTCTGCGGTTCTGAAACCAGATTTTGATCTGTCTTTCTGTGAGATTGAGCAAATTAGCCATCTCTACCCTTCGCGGCCTGCAAAGGTATCTATTGAAGTGGAACTCCTTTTCCAGTTCTACCAGCTGGGCACTTGTATAAGCTGTACGGGCTCGCTTAGAGGAGGCTTGCCCCGGAGGGCTTTTATCACCAGCACAACTCTCACCTATGTAAATCACACAAAGAACACAATCAGCATGGTAAACCCAGACACAGCAACCAGAGACAACAGCCAACAACACCAGCACCTGGAGAGTCCAGCTCGTGGATGTGAGATGAACGCCCATGCGTGCAACGAGTACTCCCCCATGGCACGAGCTCAGACGTGCCAAGCTACAAGCCTCAATAGACTTCCTTCACCTCATTAGTGTCACTATATGTCTATGCTTGCTTCCTTTAAGAATGACAGCATACAACGTATCTTGAGCTTTGCATAAAGGAGTAAGAAAGGTTTGGAGAAACACGGTGGGGTTTAGAAACTCTGAAGGTGAACCTAAGGCTCTGCTAACATAGTGGGATCAGGGTCTTCAAGAGCTAGCTGTTCTCTGCTGTGGTAAAGACTTGCAGCCCTCTTTTTCTGAACCCCCTGACATATACACATCAGCTAGAGATGCCTGAAAGTTACATTATCTACAATATAACATTACAACATGCAAGCATGGAGTTGACAGTATAGTGTTGCTATCACATCTAGCATATAGCATAAACATATGGTAGTGATTGGAAAGTATAATATACATAAGAAGAACATACAGTGGCTAGGCTTGCATACAGGCATACAGACATATTTAAATGTTACTGCTTTTTAATAAAATAAATACATTATATGGAAGGCTGTAAACAGCAATGTTACCAGGGCTTTAAAAAGCAGACTGGCAAAGACATTTGCTAAAGTTTTGGACTCTATTGCCAGGGCACATTTAATAGAAAAAGAGGAAGAGGTTAATATAAGCCCAACTCCTGGGCATTGGAGCTAGCACTGGTGTTATCGATTTGGGTTTCCTCGAGTAATAAAAGCATTAGTATACACTTCCATCCCTCAAATAATATTTTACGGGCTGAAGTTTATGGCACTCCAGAATGATTTTTGTTTGCCAGGCTTGTAACTTTGCCAATCAGCTTGTTAAAATAGGAAGAGGTTCTGACTGCATGCAGGGCATTGATCCCGCCTGCACGTGATTATGAGCTATTTTATTCCTGTTACACTTCAGCAGAGATAGGTCACTGTCTTATTAATCTAACAGCACCATGCCAACAAAGTACTTGGGACAGGCCTCTGGCTTAAGGCCTGGGCTGCTCCGCACTGACATGATTTACTGGAGGGGGGATTACCTAGGAAATGTGATAGATGCAGGAAGGCACAAGTGATTTAGCCACTAGGAAACAAAATCGCTTCAGACCCATCCTGTAAGGCTGGGAAAGTTTTACAGGGGTTGGTTTGTTCACTGAGCTCCCCCTGTGAGTGGTGGCAACCCCTTTCCAGAAGCTTGAGGGGGTCAACTCAGAGAGAAAAAAAAGCCCCCTCCCTCCCCTCCCCAAAGTGAAGATGGCCAGGGCTGCCCTCCTCCCCCCCAAAATGCGTGGCCAGCCCAGGGGTACCCAGAGAGAGGGGGGAGCATGTTTCATACCTGAACTGGAACTGCTGTTTTTCTGCTTTGTGTTTTGCCGAGACTCTTTCATCCACGGGAATATCTGTTTGGACATGGTGGGTGAGTTAAGAGCCGGGCTCTTGGTGGGGTTGGCTGGGGTGGGGTTGCTGCTGGCATTTTGAGATGGTGAGGCAGAGGACGGAGGTGGAGGTTGTGCCTGCTGGGCTGGAGGCGGCTGCGGTGGGGCCTGCGGGTCGCTGAGGCCGGGGGGCTGGAGAGGCTGGCTGGGGAGGGTCCTCATGCAACTCTCACTGATGTCATTGGCCTTGTGGTGGGACACGGAGCTGCCGGGGGACTGGAGGGAGCACGCGGGGCGGTGGTACTCAGTTTCCACAAGTGATGAAGATGGAGGATATTGCTGCTGACTCGCATTATAAGTGAAACCATTTGCTCCTTGGTAGGGGTAGGCACCATAGATTGCAGAGCTGTCGTAGTAGGTCGCTTTTTGCATTTCGTTGTTTCCCAATATTTATTTCGCAAACTGACAGGGTCTTGACACCCTTGGAGAATAACATTGGCACCCCTCTGTCACGTGGCGCTCTTCCTCCAATGGCCTCTCCGGGCAGACCTGGGGTGTGGGGAGAGCAGAGCAGGGTGAAGAAATGGTACAAATCCATCTTACTTTCAATAGCTAAGTGACATGAAAGCCATAAAAGAAAAAGTGGTCAGCAATATTTAGCAGCATGACTTGGCCTCAGGCATAGAGCATTTCGATATAAAAGCTGCCTGGATTTACTGGCAGCTACAAATATGCACTTTGCTGCACCGGGACAGCAGCTTTCTAGGGTTTTTTCTTTCTTTCTTTCTGCTTAAGAAACAGAGCAGGGCACAACACGGCAAGGGGGTTGATCGTTTATCATCGAGAGGCTGTTTTAATACCAGTCTGTGAGATAAGGGTGATCGAGGAATCGCTAATGTGAAGGGGCTGGGCTGTTCCTTCATTCCAGCTCTAGGATCAAACCCTCTCCTGTAAGCAGCGTCGTTTTATTTTTAGCCTTTCTCTCCAGGTTACAGCTCTCCATACAACTTCAAAGAAATGCATGAGATTGTTCCCGTCTATGTGTGGCAGGGGGCAGGAGCGGGGTGGAAAGGTTTCCTAGCCAGTGATATTTACACACCCCGATCCCAAGTGGCGGATTTTGGCTTGTCTATGAAATGCTCGATAGGAAAATAAACAAAGCCAGCGCCTTCTCCCCTCCGTGCTCACACACCACCCCGAGCCGCCCAGGTCACGCACCCCGGCAGCAGCGGTTTCTGCCCGGACGAGCCCCG